TTTGCTGGGTTTCCACTGGAGGTTTTTCTGCAGAAGTGAATTGTAAGAAAAAGTTTTAAGGGCCATTTGAAATGTGCAAAGTGGAGTTATTTAGAGATTTAAGGGGTGGGAAGCTTGTTTTATTGATATTGGTGTCATAACCACAACTGGGCCTGGTGTTAATTCTATGTAGATTGAACAAGCAGTTTTTTTTAAAAAAAAATAAAATAGTACGGATGGCTTATAGCTATTTCCAATAGCAGGGAAAATGTTAATTCAAATTGTTGGAAGTTAAAACCCATCCTTCTGCTAGAAAAAGGAAATATCCTGGGAAATTTATTAAGAAGGCAGAATATTATATTTCCCTGAATAAGAAATGGAGAAACATATTTTAGGCAGGAAACAGACTCACTGTTAATAGCCCCCACCTTTGTCATTGGGCCATTAAAATGCCTGAGGCATCTATTCTACATAACAAAGATCTCCCTTCAGCTCCAGGGTGATGGGACTAAGGGATGATAGGATTAGCCATTTACCCATCTCACCACAGGGCAGCTGGGAACACAACCAAGTTTGGGACTGAAATCTGCAAAGTTAGCTAAGACCCCCGCTCCTGGGAGTCTGACAACCAATCAGAATACATTTCTTACACAGGAACAGGAAACAAGAGAGGTGGGGCCGAACAGAGAGTATAAAAAACTAAGGAACTGTCAGCGAGCCCCTTCGCTTCTTTTTCTTCACTCAACATCTTTGAAGCATGTGATCCCCTTTTTGCCTAGGACATCTGTCCACCATTAAAACCATCTTTCCAAGCAGCCTCCATATTTCCAGTGTCTTTTCCCCCAATTGGAACTGAACCCAGATGGACATTTCTTCCAACAACATCTTTTTCCTGCTGCAAATGGAGAGAGACTCTGCCGGGATTTGCATGGGGGAAGTAGAGAGAAAGGGGAACTTTCCCATGAAAATGAAATGCAGTTTCCAAAGATCTTTTTCCCTGGAAGGCAGCCTTTACTGTCATTCTCTTGCACAGACATTGGGCCAGTGTTCCCGATACATGTGACTCAGAATTAGAATAGCTACCTTAAAAAAAACAAACTCCAAGGCCTTTAAGGACTTGTTCTCTCAAAACTTTCACCCAGTTTCCTGTTGGCTCTTAAGGCACGGTGGGATTTTAGAGGATTATTTGGGGGGGAAATAAACCAGGGGAATTCCTTTCCACTTTCAGCCAGGGCAACTTCCTATGACTTTAAAGAATGCACACGCACAGAAACTACACAGGCGTGCAGTTTTATCTGTAACCCTGCAGACGTGGTGTGTTGTGGCATTCTCCTTGGGTGTTGTGTTCTTTTTGTTTTAATTTGCCCCACCTAGCCTACAGCATCTAAGATGTCACCCCGCGTAACCTTTTCAACATTAGCCAAATCAGCTACATTCTAAATTACCAACGCGTTGAACAGAGTCTATCCCCAAGGCAATTACAATCCCTTGCCATCCTGTATTTTATTATTATTATTTTTTAAAAAAAAGTCTGGACTGAAAGTTACACACAGCTATAGAGTTCGGCGGCACTCTAATCTGTCGGGGAGGCAAGCTGTGCCCAACAGATGGTAGACGGAGTCGGCTGGTTTTACATGCCACTGCGCCCTGCCTCAATGTGCAATCTGCTAGTAGCTCAGAGCACAGTGTAGGGTTGTCAGATTTCAAAACAGATTTGGACAAAATGCTTATGACCTTATGCCAGACCAGCTGCATTCAGCTATTGGTTAAAAGCAAGCATGGCCTCCCCCCCACCCAGGCTTCTGCACAAAGAGGGGGAGGGAGGGAGGGAGGGAGGGAGTTGCAGCGGCGTTCATGAATAAGTCATTAAAGCAGCATAACCTGAAAATGAGAGCCCTGAAAAAGTACATGTTAAGGAATAGCAGGAATCTAAAATTCCAAGCACTTCTTCTGAACCATTTTCTTAGTACACACAGGTCCCATTTAGCAAGCGTAGTGGGAAGAGGCAGTTTCTCCAGCCGAGAACAAAGGATGAGAGACTTGCACAAGATTGTGTTTCTCCTAAAAACGTATGGTGACCAAAAAAAACACACGTCCCGTAAAATGTGCAAAAGACACCGAGGAAATTGAGAATTTCACTTACCAGCATCACTGGCAATATGCAATCAAGGGGGTTGCAAGCTGCTGAGTTGAAGCGTTATCACAGGGGTGGTGGAAATGTGATGTAAACGTCTTTACATTTTAATTCTTGCATGTGCAGCTCTGGGGCATATTTTTACGGGATGGGGAGAGACATTGAAAGACCCTGCATGAAGGGTGAGCAAATGCCCTGCGAGGATACGACACCTGCAAAGTTGCAATAAAGGGGAAATAAGATCTAAGCAAGTTGCACAATGTACACCGTGTATTTTGAAGAAAAAAGAACGCCATTTCATGCTCCCGGGGGATCAAGTTGTCCTCTATGTTGCTGAAGTCACAGAAGCTGCTGCATTGGCTGGAACGTCCCCAACCCTTTTGTTTCTTTGCTGCCGCCGCCACAGTTCCAGGATCCACACAAAAGTCCATCACACGTTGTGCTCTTATCTCCTTGCTCCTTCTGCTGCAAACTTTCCTTTGCATTATTCGAAAAGCATGTGATCTTGCAGAAGCGCTCATCATTTGTCATGCTTAGTAATGTCTACGCAGTGCAAAAGTAGAACAAAAAACAAAACTGAGTTCATGAAACTGAATGTCCTGGGTCGGCCCCCCTCCAGCCCTCTGGGTTTGGGACAGTTCCCCAGGCTGTAGCCATTCACAGCCGGTTGCTGAAAAAGCCACCCGAAGTAAACAAGGCTCCCTGGTGAACTGCCTTGACCCAAGGTTTGAGGAAAGCAGCTGGCTGGCTGCCCATGCTGACGATCTGCCACTTGGCTGCAGGGCCAAACAAACGGAGGGGGCTGCACTTGATGAGCCTTCTCTGGGGTGTAAGAAACCACGTTTGCAAGCTCAGAGGAGAAAGAGAAGAAGTGGGCCCTTCACCTGCGCTCAAACTCCGAAGAACAGAACTGCCAGATATTTGTTAGTTTGTTTATTGAATGGGCATTTTCAGTTTAGGAGAGCAACCTTTCTCCCCCACCACAATCATCTACAGAAAGCCACTAGGCTGCAAGAGCTTTCTTGCCAGTGTGATAATGTTTGGAAAGTTGCATAAAATGAGGGCTCCCATATCTGAGCTGCAAATGTCCGGACGATAGCTAGATGGCAACTAAAAAGAGGCAGAAACTTTTGGTTTGATGCTATGTTTGGGGGGGGGTGTGATAATATCTCACAATTTGATGAGTGCCACACAGGTGACCGAAGAGGACTGGGAGAGGGTGCTTGCTGTAAGAACTGGAAGTGTTGGGGGTGGGTAGAGAGCAATAGCCCTTAGACTTATAGACTGCTTCACAGTGCTTCACAGCCCTCTGTAAGTGGTTTACAGAGTCAGCATATTGCCCCCAACAATCTGGGTCCTCGTTTTACTTGAAGGATGGAAGCCTGAGTCAACCTTGAGCCTGGTGAGAATCAAACTGCTGGCAGTCAGCAGAATTAGCCTGCAATACTGCATTCTAACCACTGAGCCAAAGGTGGGTTCCTACCAGTTTGGACCAGTTTGGCTGAACCAGTAGTGGTTTAGTGGCTGGGTCTCTGGAACCAGCAGTGACCCAGGCCTGCCACGCCCCCAAACTGGTTCTTCTACGGTGCCGCCATCTTGCTTTTCGACTCTGTGCATGCGCAGAACAATTGTAATTGCACAAATTTATTTATTTTTCTTTTTTTAATGTTTAGGCACAGACCTATTTTTGTGCAAATGTGCACCGAACTGGCACCAAACTGGCAGTAATGCTAGGAGCAACCCCACTCCTGCACTGCGCCACTATGGCTCCAAAGATGAATGGTTGTTGGTGGTCTGGGTGGTATATGTGGATGAATTGACAGCTTTGCCTAGGACAGGGGTGTCAAACTCACGTCATCACGGTGGCGTCACGTGATGTATCGGGACTTTTCCCCCCTTCGCTAAACTGGGTGCAGTCATGGCCAGCACATGACACATTCGGCCCAGAGTTTGACAGCTCTGGCTTAGGAGGAAAATACAACGACTGGGAGGGAAATGAGGAGAAGGAGAGGAAGTGGTAGGAACATAGACAAGGGAACATGATGGACAGAGATATGATAGGATCCTGGGGTGGGCTGGGAGCATTGGGCTCTCTTGCTGAGAACAATTCTGATAACTAGCCCCAGGTTCTTCATTCAAAACCGAAATATTGGATCTTTGGTGATCCTGGACTCTACCTGCTGTTGAATGGCAGGTCAGTTTGTAATCAATCTTCCTTCATACACAATTGGGCTGTGAATGACATAGCCAACTAGGTTATGGTGGGCCTATAGGGGATGCTCCCCTCTTGGAAAAGTGGCCACCTGGGTTTTGGCACCATCCCTCCCAAAGGAGGGGAGGTGTGGTCATAATTGTTATCCATTGAGTTGTTGTAGGTTTTCAGAGACTCTGCCTGCTCCACAGATAACTAGATATGAGATCTTTGACTGAAGTGGACCTATAGGAAACAGGATTGTTGCTGATGAAATGGCCTCTTGCTACCCAGTATCATCCCTGTCTGAGCTACTGGATTCCACTGCTGGGCTGGCAACAGAGATGCCAAGATTGGCGGTGCTCAGTATGTGCTGGGCCCATAATGACCTAGAACATGTCCATAATTGCCATGGAGATCACAAATCCCTGAGCCAACCCATACTCAATGCCACAAGGGATTATTTGCCGCCTGGTGATATTGAGTATGGGTTGGCTCAGGGATTTGTGGTATCCATGACAATTAGGGACATGTTCTAGGTCATTATGAGCCCATCAGACACTAGGTGCTGGATATTAGACTGTCTTCAGCATGGAGCAGTTGCATCATGATGTGGCTTTGGAAGACGTTGTCATTAGTCTGTTGTTGTGGACAGATCACTTCTTAGCTCACTGATCTCATCTCCTGTCATGGGGAGAGAGAGCTTGTTAGGTCCGATGGTCCTGGTCCCAAGATTCCTTTGGTCTACTGAGTAGCTCTGCAAGATAAAGTGCATGAAGAGCCACCTAGAGCACCATTGGAGGAGGATGAGAATGAATCATAGCATAGGTAAGAATCTATATTTGGACTTACATCATAGTGATAAAGGCAGCAAAATCACATAATCCTCTGCCCTTAGTGCATCTCCCTGGCAGCCCTGTTCAAGGTGACTCAATCTCTGCTGGGGAGAGATAAATCCAGGACTAACTGCTGTGAGAAATATTTTGCAATTTGGCAGATAAAGACATTTGGAATCATCGAGAGCCGGATTTTGAGTGAACATGTCCAGATGAAGTGCCCAAGGCATGGTCTTGTATAGTCAACTGAAGTGAGCTGGCTTGCGAGTCCTCAGACTACGAACAGGATGCTCTCATCTGGGAGCTTCATTCTCTGTTTTGATCTAGGCCTTTCCTGGATGGTTAAGGGTGCCTAGAGGTGACCTACTGCTGGAGCCAGGCGTACATATATGCTTCTCTGCAGGAGTAGTCTCCTCAGCCTTGAAGGAGACTGTGGTCTGCCTCCTCACCCCACCCTGGGCAATTTCATTCCGGTCTCCAATCTTCCCTTTCTGTGGAAGGTGTTGGCAAGGTTGGTTGGGCTTCAACTCCAGAGGACCCTTGAAAAAACAGATTATTTAGACTGGTTGCAGTTGAGGCACAGGATGAGATTCAGTGTGGAGCCAGCAGTGGTCACACCGGTTGATAATCTGTGGCAGAACCAGGATGGGGATGGTAAATCCATCCTGGTGCTCCTCAATTCCACAGCAACTTTCAGTACTGTCAACCATGGTGTTCTATTGGGCTAGCTTTGGGGGCTGGAACTGGGAGCCACTTTTTGCAGTGGTTTTTCTCCTTTCTTTGTGCCCAGTTCCAATCAAAGCTGTTAGAAGGTGAGAGGTAGCACTTGTGGTTCCTTGCTTGTAGGGTGCTGCAGGGTTCAACCCTTTCTCCCCTTTTGCTTAATATCTAGATGATATCAACCATTAGTTTGGGTTACTTATTATCAATATGCTGATACCCAATTATACACAGGGACCCCAGGCCAACCAAATGACACCACTTAAGTACTGTCCCAATGCCTGGGGGCTGTAGAGTTTGGAAGCGGAGGAATAGGCTCAGTCCTGAGAAGACCAAGTGGCTTTGTTTATTTCAGTGTTTTTCAACCACTGTGCCGCGGCACACTAGTGTGCCGTGACATAGTGTAAGGTGTGCCGTGGGAAAAACACCTGCCTATAGTCAATATAGGCACAGAGTTAAAAAAATTTAACAT